AAGTGATCATGCAACATGAACAACACCTGTCTTCCTCTTACAATTCGTCCGGCAGTGGCTTCGGTCTCCTTGAAGGTATCTACCTTACGGGCGAAGTCACCTGTAATGATGTTCGTGAGTGCAGAAAGTAACTTTGCATCAAGAGTCGCAAACGGCGCAACCTTCCGGAGCGCTTCAAGAGTCTGTTCTTCTTTCCAAGAATCACTAACCCACTTGAAAGCACTGTCGGGATCGGTTGATGCGGCTACAACTGCTTCTCTGGTCTTGATTCTCCAATTACGATAGGTTTCCGCCAAAGGGAATGCTGGGATTTTGATAGTGTCGGCCTCCTTGACTTTGGGTTTGTCATCATGTCTTTGGTCAACATAACCACCAAGAAATTTGATCATTCTACGCCGGAATTTCTCATCATCATCATCATCGGGATCATCATAGCCGTCATCACCACGGTCAGGAGGATTAGGATCACCCCTATTCTTTCTGGGGACTTTACGGTTGTTATCCCCTTCGGGCTTATCATTTGGATCAGGTGGTGACGGTGGTCCACCTCCCCCATTTCCTCCGTTGCCATCCCCTCCATCCCCAGGATCGTCCCCATCTGGCACATCATCGTCCCCCGGCTCGAGGTAGCCCAAGTCATCAGGACCTACCTCGGTCGGAGTATAAAGATTGGTCGGTGCAGGGGAGTTGATCTTATCTGTAGGAGGATTATCACGGCGTCGAGTGGTGGCCTCTCCTCCCGAAGGGCGTTCATTCGTGGACGACCTTGCGATGTCTGATTCCTTCTTCACATGAACTGGGACTCGATAAGATGGATCGTGATAAATGATTTCAATACCATCCTTTTCATAAGTCTCCGCATCAGGTGAAGTAAAGTTAATCGGTGTTCTTGGGATAGGAGGTCGGGCGACACTCGTTGGAGGTGCTGCGGGTGCAGCCTTGCGGGTCGGTGCAACAAACTCAAAGCTTGGGGTGTCCGTCGATGCATGAGCTTTGGCTGTGATAGTCATGGCGGCAGTTTCAACAATCGGACTTGGACGAACCTGGGCAAACTGGGAATCAAGCATGCTTTGCAATTTCAGGTTATGTTGCATCTGAGCTTGTACCATTTGTTCAAGTTGGGTGATGCGATCATTCTGAATCCTTCTCTCTTCCTCAGCTTGCTTCTTTAATTCAAGAATTTCCTGTTCTTTACTGGAAAGTGATTGCCGATGATTAGCATCAATGACACGTTGGTAGGCTTGAATTTTCTCACTCATCTGAGCTTCTCGGAACCTGATATGTTCGTGCGCCTCATGCTTTAAATTCTCTTTATATTGAGCACCCACATTCAAAAGTTCTTGTTCTTTGATTCTGATAGCATCAAGGGCCCTCTGACTTTCAATGCCCTCGCGGACTCGCAAAGCTTCCTTCAACTCCTCAGTCTTGGCCGTGTGGATAGCTTCAGCCTGAGCTTCGGTATGAGCCAACACCTCACGATGACGGAGCTCGGCCGCTGTTTCCACAAGGCTTGTCATGGCAGGGTCATGCGAATGAACATGCAAATTCTGCTCGACAAAATTCACTTGAGGATTATCCATTTGCACATTATGATGGAACGTGTTGTGAACATTCATTTGGTTCAATTGGCGAGTCGGCGGCCCACCCTCCCGAGCGGCTTGGGGAACATATCCACGGTGGTTAAATCCCACATGGGAAGGCACAATTGCGTTACCCATCGGTGGAAGGTGGCGACGTTCCCTTAAGCTTCGTGATTTATCGGATCCGGGTGGGGTGCTTATATCAATGGTGAATGGGGTGTTACTTATAGGTAAGTTACCGGGGTTGGCCATGGCGGCGTCAGAGGACATGCGCCCGGTGCCCTCGGTGGAAGAACCCGAGGGGGCAGACATTACCTACAAAGAGAATGTTACGCTACGGCTGATAACCTGTTTGACAGGTTAACTAGCCACAAGTAACCAGCTAGCACACTCTGTTTTCTTGAGCCAATGCAACACGGTGTATCCAGTGAAACCTATAAACAACAATGTTTAATGGTTAATTAATGATGGTTAATGGCTAATTAATGATGGTTAACGGTTAATTAATGCTGGTTAATGGTTAATTAATGATGGTTAATGGTTAATTCATGATGGTTAATGATGGTTAATGATGGTTAATGATGGTTAATGATGGTTAATGATGGTTAATGATGGTTAATGATGGTTAATGATGGTTAATGATGGTTAATGATGGTTAATGATGGTTAATGATGGTTAATGATGGTTAATGGTTAATTAATGATGGTTAATGATGGTTAATGATGGTTAATGGTTAATTAATGATGGTTAATGGATGGTTAATGGTTAATTCATGATGGTTAATGGTTAACTAATGATGGTTGATGGTTAATTAAAGATTGTTAATGGTTAATTATTGATGGTAAATGGTTCATTAATGATGGTTAATGGTTAATTAATGATGGTTAATGGCTAATCAATGATGGTTAATGGTCAATTAATGAAGGTTAATGGATGGTAAATGGTTAATTAATGATGGTTAATTGTTAATTAAGGATGGTTAATGGTTAATTGATGATGGTTAGTGGTTAATTAATGATGGTTATTGGTTAATTAATGATGGTTAATGGTTAAACAATGATGGTTGATGGTTAATGATGGTTAATGATGGTTAATGATGGTTAATGATGGTTAATGATGGTTAATGGTTAATTAATGATGGTTAATGATGGTTAATGGATGGTTAATGGTTAATTAATGATGGTCAATGGTTAATTAATGATGGTTAATGGATAATTAATGATGGTTAATGGTTAATTAATGATGGTTAATGATGTTTAATGATGTTTAATTATGTTTAATTATATTTAATGGTTAATTAATGATGGTTAATGGCTAATTAATGATGGTTAACGGTTAATTAATGATGGTTAATTGTTAATTAATGATGGTTAATGGTTAATTAATGATGGTCAATGGTTAATTAATGATGGTTAATGCTTAATTAACGATGGTTAATGGTTCATTAATGATGGTTAACGGTTAATTAATGATGGTTAATGGTTGATTGGTGATGGTAAAAAAAAATGATGGTCAATGGTTAATTAATGATGGTTAATGGTTTATTCATGGCGGTTAATGGTTAATTCATGATGATTAATGATGGTTAATGATGGTTAATGATGGTTAATGATGGTTAATGATGGTTAATGGTTAATGTTTAATTAACGATGGTTAATGGATGGTTAATGGTCAATTAATCATGGTTAATGGTTAATTAATGATGGTCAGTGCTTAATTCATGGCGGTTAATGGTTAATTCATGATGATTAATGATGGTAAATGATGGGTTAATGATGGTTAATTAGTGATGGTTAATGGTTAATTAATGATGGTTAATGGTTAATTAATGATGGTAAATGGTTCATTAATGATGGTTAATGGTTAATGAATGATGGTTAATGGTTAATTAATGATGGTTATTGGTTAATTAATGATGGTTAATGGTTAAATAATGATGGTTAATTGATGGTTAATGGTTAATTAATGATGGTTAATGGTTATTTAATGATGGTTAACTGTTAGTTAATGATGGTAAATGGTTAATTAATGATGGTTAATGGTTAATTAATGATGGTTAATGATGGTTAATGATGGTTAATGATGGTTAATGATGGTTAATGATGGTCAATGATGGTTAATGATGGTTAGTGATGGTCAATGGTTAATTAATGATGGTTAATGGTTAATTAATGATGGTTAATGGTTAATTAATGATGGTTAATGGTTAATTAATGATGGTTAATGGTTAATTAATGAAGGTTAATTGATGGTTAATGGTTACTTAATGATGGTTAATGGTTAATTAATGATGGTTAACTGTTAGTTAATGATGGTAAATGGTTAATTAATGATGGTTAATGGTTAATTAATGATGGTTAATGGATAATTAATGATGGTTAAAGGGTTAATTGGTGTTGGTGAATGGTTAATTAATGATTGTTAATGGTTAATTCATGTTGGTTAATTGTTAATTAATGATGGTTCATGTTCATGGTTAACTAATGATGGTTAATGGTTAATTAATGATGGTTAATGGTTAATTAATGATGGTTAATGGTTAATTGGTGATGGTTACTGGTTAACTAATGATGGTCAATGGTTAATTAATGATGGTTAATGGTTCATTAACGATGGTTAATGGTTAATTAATGATGGTTGATGGTTAATTAGTGATGGTTAATGGTTAATTAATGATGGTTAATGGTTAATTAATGATGGTTGATGGTTAACGATGGTTAATGGTAAATGGTTTCTTAATGATGGTTAATGGTTAATTAATGATGGTTAATGGTTCATTAGCGATGGTTAATGGTTAATTAATGATGGTTGATTGTTAATCAATGATGGTTAATGGATGGTTAATGGTTAATTAATGATGGTCAATGGTTAATTAATGATGGTTAATGGATAATTAATGATGGTTAATGGTTAATTAATGATGGTTAATGGTTAATCAATGATGGTTAATGGTTAATTAATGATGGTTCATGGAAAATTAATGATGGTTAATGGTTAATTAATGATGGTCAATGGTTCATTAATGATGGTTAAGGGCTAATTAAGGATGGTTGATGGTTAATTAATGATGGTTAATGGTTAATTAATGATGGTTAATGGTTAATTAATGATGGTTAATGGTTAATTAATGATGGTTAGTGGTTAATTAAAAAATATTAAAATGATGTTTAATGGTTAATTAACGATGGTTAATGGATGGTAAATGGATAATTAATGATGGTTAATGGTTAATTAATGATGGTTAATGGTTAATTAATGGGGTTAATGGATAATTAATGAAGGTTCAGGGCTAATTAACGATGGTTGATGGTTAATTAATGATGGTTAATGGTTAATTGATGATGGTTAATGGTTCATTAATGATGGTTAATGGTTCATTGATGATGGTTCATGATGGTTAATGATGTTTACTGGGCTCACAAGGCCCGGAAGAGGCGTGTCTCAATGCCCAGAGGATCTGCCGAGAAGTCCTCAGGCGTCTCAACACCCAAAATCTCCTCAGGCCGCACAGCGAACAGCGCTGTTCATCAATGGATTGGTTTTGTTGGGTTTTTTTTCACCGGAAACGAAACCATGGTTTTTACCATTAAATATGGGGGAAACCATGCTTTTTACCATTAAGATCATGGGGGGTTCCAGTTTCAATTTTCCCTTAAACCAATCAATTGATGAACAGATTCCAAGCTGGTGGGACTCGGAAGCGACATCTTCCGAGCCTTGAAAAGACTCTTGAAAATACTCTTTCTATGTGGTCTGCGGAACTCCAAAAACTCTGCTTTCCAAATCCCAATTTTTCACTATTCCATACTATTTCCAATTTCAGGCAGCAAAGCTGCTCAAAAAAAGGTGAAAAAACCACGACATGGAAAACCTGTCCGAGGCTCCCTGGAAGGCCGTCGTCCCATCAAACCACCCGACTCTTCTGCCTGGAAAACGAGGTCGAGTGCAATTAACCCCACAAAACCTACGCATTGCGCCTGAGAGATTCCTACCGGTATTACCTGTAGAGGTCCTTGATGCCTTCATGACTTTGGGAAGCAAATGGAAGAATCCAAAAAAATGTTTAGACTTTAGACAAAAACTGTTGCTCACTGTGACTCAATCTGCAGAATATGTTGTTTGTACAGTATGTTTGTCCTTCACACGCTATCCAGCTGGATCTCTCGGAGGCTCTGAACACCTGGTTTTCCAGATGTGAAGCTGTATCTGTCGTGAGTACCTTGTACACCTACATCTTTCATCATCTCCCCCGATCCATCTTCAAGTCTTCTTGGTTTCCGCTCCCCGGCCTCAAGCCGTGTGGACTCGTCTACCTCAAAAGCAGACGAGGGCCGAGGCACAAAGATGTCCTTAGTGGCAGAGACATGATGGATCAAGATTCAACTATACCACCATAATCCACCATTATCCACCATAATCCACCATAATCCACCATTATCCTAGTAGTTTGAGACAATTTCTGAACCTTTGTTTCAACATGTTGAAATCAACATACATTTGAAACTGCCAACATTTGAAACCACCTGCCCAGTGCAGCCCAGTGGCGAATGCAAAGCACACAATTGCATGGAGGACATTTCGGGAGAAGCGTCTGTCAAGTCCTTGGGGCTTTCTGTATGCCGTCGTATGCCGTCCGAGGTGTGGTGTCAAATCGTGGTGTCACAGGATGCAAAGCACCTGGATCCTAAAATAAAGATAACGAAAGATCCTGAAAGATCCTAAAATAAAGATCCTGAAAGATCTGAAAGATCCTGAAAGATCCTGAAAGATCCTGAAAGATCCTGAAAACTTAAAATAACTTCAACAAGTCACTTGTCCAGTTTAGTTCGTTCTCCGAGCCGCCGAGGACATCCCGGAGCATGTGAAAACGGAGACACGGAGATCTCAACGCTTGAACCTAAGGTCGAGATGGTGCACGTCGCTGCGCTGAAACCGTTTTAACATGTTCTAACTGGGTCCCAGTCAAGGTCTACACCTGAAAGACTACAGCACTCAAAAACAAATCTCAAGCAGCCAATGCAAAATCTTGCAAGCTTGAAATGTGTCACAACCACATCCCAAACCTGTTCTTAGATCAGTGTTTCAAGCATACAGTTTCTAAACCGCACAACTGGGAAAATCCTATGATGTAATGTGTCACAAGTTTCAGAGTAAGCTCATCTAAGAATCTAAGCCATTTTTTTGGGATCTGTTTGGGCCTTTTTGGTACAATGCGCAAATCGCAAAGGTAAAGCTGGTGGCACTGACCACATAACGGCCACATATCAACCAATTGCAATCAAGGGAACAACTTCATAGAGTTCTCTCACGTATGACTCGCCATCATCTGCATCCCTGCACTCAATGACTTGCAATTTGCACAGTTTGCTGTGCTCACAGCTGCATTTAAGCTTTCATTGGCAATAGCACCCCTTCACAACATGTTTCTTGATCTTTTTGTTGGAATTTGTTTAATTTTGTATTTCCAGGTCTTTCTGAGTCATTCCATGGCTGGAGGGGCAGGCACTTCCCTTTCCCAACTTGCACTGCACCGTGTAGTTCGTGATCTTCATGATCAATGTATGTTGGTGCTTGTCGGTGCACTTTCAGCATGATACATGAGGCATCACAAAGTCAGCACTAGTGTCAAACAAAGTATCAACATGTGCTGTTGTGTGCTGTTATGTGCTGTTGGGGGTGAGAAGCGAACCAAGAATGACAAATTCAAAATGCGCAACATCCATGTGGCACTTGGAAAACGCTTGGAGTCAAGGTTAAAGTGCGCAACGGCCCAAGAGAGCAACGGCCCAAACCTGTGAGAAACGAGCCTGAACGCGAAAAACATCCTGTCCAAAACATCATTCTTCCACAGGATGGAAACGAGGTGACATGATGGTATAAACGGTATAAGAAATATTGAAGATAGGGATATCAAAAAATGAAAACCGAAAGTGTTCAAGAAGAAACACAAACAAACCTCCTGTGAATTTAAAAATGAAAAAAACCTCCTGTGAACTGGGTACTCCCACCAAGACAACCACGTTGTAAAATGTTGCAACATGTTGTAAAATCCAAGTGGCATGTACCATTTGAGTTGTTGTTTGGTGATAAATCCACCGAGCCCAGGTCTCAAGGAACCGAAGATTCGGAGCCTTTTGGGTTAGCCGGGAACAGCCCCGTGGCTTTCCGTCCTCGACCCGTGGCTTTCGGCCTGAGCTTTTTCAGGTGCTTCAGGAAGTCAGCGCGATTTGCGACTGCCTTGCCATTGATGAAGGAGGAGACCCCTGAGCTGACAAGAGCTGACAAGTTGACAAGCTTGCAAGGCTACATGCTATGGTGTGTAAAACCCTTCACAATGTCTTCATGTTCAGTGAATTCAGCCAGTGATAGCTGCCATATACTTGGTAGATCTCCATGATTCCTTTTCAACCTATCGTCTAGATACTGCAACAAATCACTCTGCTCTTGAACAAACAGCCAGGCGTTTGGGCAACGTGAAGTGTCTATATACAGAGCTATACAGTCTTCAGATGTCCTCAAATGTCTTCAGTTGCAGTCTTCAGAGCCAGCTATTTGCAAGAAAGAAACTTGAAGTGGGCTCTTTTTTCCATGTCTCGACCTAGAAGCGCAGCAGGAGGTTTCAAGGATACAAGCAAAACCACTGAAAAAAATGGGAGTATGAAATTTTCAGGGGTGGCCTATCAGATTGAAACGAAATGAAACCAGCATAAATACTGAGCATACTTACAGAGCATAGTTAGTGATAGTTCTTTAATGGTTGAGGCGGTGTCGATCTTTTTACCGAGAGACCCAGCTGAAGAAGTCGCACAGAGTGCACTGTGAATTCACCTGCAAGGCTTACTGCAAGGCTTACTGCAAGGCTTATCGTGAGGAACGAAGCGCGGAAAAAATCAAAACCCAAAGGAATCAAAAGGAACACGGATTTGTTCGGCGCCGTTTTGCTCAACTTGCTCAATGTGTTCAAAGACTTTACAAGATCGCAAGCTCCAGTGGTGTTCAGCGAACCTTACGGAGCCATTCACCGAGCTCTTCAACTGCTCTGTCAATGCCTTGGATCCATTCATCTGACGTACCCTCTGGTGAACTAACATAGCAATGGAAAATCACCATTCTTAATGGGAAAATCCACTATAAATAGCCATTTTCCATTGCAAACTGTTAGTTCATCTGAAGACGTACTTGGCTGCTTGACAAATCAATCTCAATCTGCAGAACTGTGTTGGGATTCATTTTTTGTCTGTGAACTAAACTTGCTTTCAGCGGGTGCAAACCACGCCAGATGCAAAGAAGTTACGGCGCTTTGTCTGCCCTGAACGGAACTCCATTAGCATCACCTGGCTCCATAGGTGTTCCCCGTTAAGAACTTTGTGCGGGTTTTCTTCAAATTCCTATTTGGCACCTACCCTCTGGTGAACTAGAAAAACAATGGAAAATGGCTATAGAAATAGTGGATTTTCCCATTAAGAATGGTGATTTTCCATTGCTATGTTAGTTCACCAGAGGGTATGTTGTTTGCTCAGTTCTTCTTGACTGTTCTTCTTAACTTCGAAGTGCATTGATGCTCTTTGGGCAACTCTCACAGTTTTATTGCGGAAAAATCCATTCGATCACACATTCATTCAAAACAGCCAATACATATATACATATAATATATATATATACATACAATATATATATATATATATTATATAAAATATATAATATAAAATATATATTATAAAATATATAATATAAAATATATATAATATAAAATATATAATATAAATAATATATATATAATATAATATATATATAATAATATATATATATAATAATATATATATATAATAATATATATATATAACATTTTATTAACATATATATATATTAATATACTAAAAATGATGAAAAGATCTCAGAATCCATCCATGACATCGATCGTGGGTGCCGCGCCTCAGCTCCAAGCGCCACCTGAAGATCGTCTGAACCATCAGGAAGAGTTTCGGAAAGGACGAGCACCTGACATGGACATTTTTTGTGGACATTTTTTGTGGACATTTTTTGTGGACATTTTTTGTGGACATTTTTTGTGGACAGAATGTGCTTGGATATTGGATGGTAGGTAGTAGCTACTTATAAATCTTATAATTAGTTACAATGTGAGGCCCCCCAGTTATAAGTTGGTTTATAAGCCCCAGTAATTATAGTTATAAGTACCATAAACCATAGTTATTGGAGTTATAAACCAACTTAGCTATCTTGGGGGCCTCACATTGTAGTTATCCCAGTTATCCCACTTAGTTAGTGTTTAGCCTACTTATAACCATGGAATGTTGCAATTTCGAACATGAAGCTTTGCAATTCGAGGCAAAGCATTGCATCACAGCATCGTTCTGGGAAGCTCACCTCAGTCATAAGCCGGCGCTCGTGGCAAGCTGTTTCTTCCTTTCCAAATCCCAGCAGCAGTGGAGATGTAGCTCGAACGATTTCACCTCGGGATTTCCACCGACATCTTGACAGCATGAATGAACACTTAATCACTTTGCCGACTTAGCCAAACAATATTGCCATGTTTCGTGCACACAACAAAGCACATATCAAATATGATGTCATATATATGTATATATAAATATATAGTTAGATAGAGTTTGATACAAGTTATGCCTATTATATATATAACATGTTATCTGGCACAAGAAAAGTACGCGAGATAGCTTCCCGTTTGAACTCACGTAGCCCAGAAACGTGCAGAGGGAACATTGCGAAGAGCAACACAAGCTTTCAATCCAGCTGACAAAAGCTCATGGAAGCGTACCTGCTCATACAGAGCCACAAGCAATGACCACTTTAAGTTCTTTAAGGGCCATGTCTGGACAGCATCACAAATATAACATAGAACTTGTTGGGAAGTGCAACGGTGCAAACGGTATTGAGCATAGCATAGCGATCTTGCTTTGTTAAGCTTTGTTTTGTAATGCCTTACACTGGTGTCATCTACTCAAGTGTCAATTTTAAGGCCTGCCCTGTTGAATGGGTGGATTGCCTTGGGGGATATGGTTCACCTTTATTGCAACAAAATCCCTTGACCACTTCCATTTCGGTCTCAGAAGGAACCGCCTATGTCTAAGTGTTCGTCCTGCATTCTTTGCACACCATGTCATTTGATGTCAAGCCTGTGTAGATATGTGTAGCAACTCTTGTACATCCTAGACATGGCTAGACGGCATAGATCCATATAGTGCCTGCTGTTTTTATGAATGTGTTTTCTATCTTTGCCAGTCCCCTTTAATCAACACGAGGATTGTCTCTTGCACGTGAGAGCCGGCAATCAGACTTGCAATTCAGAAGAACTCCGTCTTTGGCCACGCGACTGGATCATCAGTATACTTTGCAAACAGCTGCCATAAGCTGGAGCGGCGTAGGCCATACCTGAGAATCGTGATTCAAATAAACTCTTAGCAGGTGCACATGAAACTGTGCCATTTGGGCTGAAAGATCCAAATTCTGCAGCAAACGCGTTTTAAAAAAATTAAAAAACAGTAAGGAGAGACCAGGAACAAAAAAAAACGTGCATGATACAATGATACGGTTACCCTCAAGATATCAAGAAATTGATCATTTGCTGTGCTGAAGGCCAAACAAAAAAATGAGTAGCTTGAACATAAATTGAATACTTACGTGGCATCCTCCATTCCAACGAGCAAGCATTTAACCTTTGAAAGCTAGTTGGGTTCCACGTTCGCCCAGCTGCATAGCATGGATATTGAGCTTCTCCATGTCGGAGAAATGCATAGTTGAAACATCCACAGGCAGGCGAGGAACTAAAACCTTGGGCCAAGAACAGACAAGAAAAATATGAAACATTACAAAACACATTGCTGATAAAATTGTCAAACAACAGATTATGATGAGGCTTGAGAAACTTAGAAGCAAACTAAAATCGCTGTTTGACAAAGTTGATTCATGAAAAGGCAGAGAGCGCCGTGGTACTACCATGGTACTACCTGACCCTGCACTCCAAGACAGCTTCGACTGCTTGCTGAATGCAGCATTCAGGGTGAGGAGCCGCTGGCCACCTCTCCAGATGTGTTGGCAGGGCCTCACAGACTGACGATAATCTTAACCGATGAACGATAACGAATCCTCACAGAATCTGAATGATCCAAAGTAGTTTTATTAATAATGGATCCAAGTAGGAAAACTTGGATGAACAATAATCTGAACCTCTCTGCAAAGTAGTTATCCAAGCAGTTGAGCCCACCAGTCACGGTAGCTACTGCATCAACACTGCTCAGTATTGTCAATCTTAATGACAGCATTTTCGACCAGTTGTCGAAAGATGTCAAAAGTGTTGCGCTGATGGTACACCGTCACCATCATCATCATCATCATCATCATCATCACCATCATCGTAATCATCATCATCATCATCATCATCATCATCATCGTCATCATCCTCATCATCATCATCATCATCATCCTCATCCTCATCCTCATCCTCATCCATTAATAACCGTTAAATACCATTAATAACAATTAATAACCACTAATAACCATTAATAACCATTAATAACCAGTGATAACCATTGATATCATCATCATCATCATCATACCAATCTCTCTGAAATAGCAGCTTTTGCACAATGAGCCGGCCTGACGCAGATAGGCCTCCAGGATGCTATTATCCAAAAGGCATACAGGATGCTCAGAGTCCTGTGCCATTTTTCCATGCTTCCCTGATTCGCACAGCCTTTGCATTTGATATCATTCGATCTATTTCGAGAATGAAAATAATTAAAGTGACTCGAGATGACTTGAGTTTCCAAAATGAAAGACAATGAAACTAGAATCGCAAGAAGAATCGCAAGAAGAATCGCAAGAAGAATCGCAAGAAATTCATCAGCTCCATTCAGCTCCAGTCCAGTAGGAGCAGTGGCAGTCGCAAGCCCAAGGCATGGTCCAAAAGAGCCACAACTCCTGGCAGTGTCCAAGCTCCAGCTAGCCGCATCGTACGCATTGAATCATACATCTGAAATGTAAAAATGTAAACACCAGCTTGCAACATCTTGCAACCCAGTATAGCATTATATAGAATTTTTGTACATCAGATTGTATCAGCATCTTTCGCACCAACCTAGATTTGCCACACCAACCTAGACATCTCGCGATTGTTGATCATGTTTTTAAGCCACTGTCCGTACAACAAATTATTATTCGAATTCTTTACCATTGTTGTACTATTGTGTGTGTGGCTGTGTGTGGCTGTGTGTGGCTGTGTGTGTGTGGCTGTGTGTGTGGCTGTGTGTGTGGCTGTGTGTGTGGCTGTGTGTGTGTGTGCGAGTGTCGAAGCTCTATCTAGCAATAAAATGCAGAAAGTGCGATCGATTACGAACGTCACAGATGTACGACATACAGCAATGCTTTGAGCGCCACCCTGTCTGCAAGACATAATTGACATAACTTGTGCTTTTTCTACCATCTACCCCATGAATGTCATGCATTCTGCGATGCAGAATGCTTGGGTTCAGTACAAAAGCTGCACCATGCGATCCTTTAGTTCACTCTGCGGCTTCATTTACTTTTAAACATTCAAATCGCAAATCGCTTATTGCGTTTTGCAGAATACCTTTTTCTTGAATGTGTCAGGACCTAAAGCACTCATCCAGCAAAATGACATTGATTTTCTGTTTGATGCTATGAGAAAAGGAACATTCAGTAGTAAGAAAACACATGGGGCAAATATGGGCAAATTATGCGGAGTCATGTACTTTATACTTGGCAGTGGCAGACACTTTATGTCTGGCCCCCTTTTAAAGTCGACCAGACTTTCAAAAAGTTCTGCTTGATATTACTTGACAAAAGGGCAATCCAATTTCTGCTGAAAGTCTTCAAAATTAACTAGGTGTCAAAGCAAAAGTCTCTGACATTCCTGACATGACTGTTTAACAGTTACATTGCCACATTTCCACATTGCGTCTCTTCCCCCCACTTCCCACCTAAAGCATGGAGGACACGGCCCAACTCCATGGAACGAACAAAAACAGCTACGATGCCACGCGTTCCTTTGCAGGGCCTCAGCAAATTGATGTGAGTCGATCCACTCCGCCAAATCGGCGACAAATATCATCTGGTTGCTGGTTCAACCTACCCCTCTGAAATTTATGATGGAGTGAGTGAGTTCGTCAGTTGGGATGATGATGACATGGATGACATTCCATATGAAATTCCAACATGAACCATATATTATTCCCATAAAAAATAATGGATGACATTCCCAAAAAAATAGATGGAAAGTCATAACATTCCCATGGTGAACCAATGGTTCCAGTCTGGTTCCAGTCACCACCCAGTCATGACGACTATCCGCCCGGTGGTTGATGAACCGCCCATTTTTCCCCTACCGAGGTACCAGTTGATTTCGTTGAAATTCATGGTCGCTCCATCTGCCACCTGTCAGGACAGGTCACATGGTGTTTCTAACGAACCTCGGATTCCACGCACGTGGCACTGAAAAAAAGTCACTTCTGAAATGAATGAATCTGAAGAAAATGATGGAATCATCAGAATTATTCTGGAAGGTATATCATGTTTAAATATGTTTAAATATGTTTAAATGACAATTATCCATGACAATTGATGTCGCCTATATCAGTTTAAATTAGAGGCGACACGGCTTTGACACCGTGCCAGGCTTTCCCCTGTGGCCTCTTGCAGTTCTCCAGTCTCCGCGTTCGTTGTAAGGCCACGGCGATTGCATTCCTCGCAAGACTAAAACACCAATAAAGTCAAAGTAGTGAAAACACCAATGTAGTTTATTAGTGCTTTATAAAGTGTTAATAAACTATATGACTTTATTGTTGTGAAAAAATAAACACTAATTACTGGTGTTTGACTAAAACACCAATAGTGAAAACTATAGAAAACTCAAACTGAAAAATATATATATTTAAATAACATAAATAACATTAAAAATTACCATGTTTGAATCCAACATTAAATTACCATAGAAATCAGAAAAACGGTCGAGGGAACGGAGAAAGAGCTTGGCAGTCCTGAGAAATATGAGAAATGCAATGCACTAATTGAAACTGAAACATATTGAAACCAGAGAATAGCAAATACCACGTAAATACCTGAAATTTATTGAAATTTGAATCTAAATTCCACTGATCCCACGCCACGACCGCCACGAGACAACCAAACGGTCGATTGTCACCAGTGCAGAAGATCGCCCATTCACAAGCTCGCCCTGGAGTTTTCAACAATCTTTGGGTCTTCCGCACCCACAAACATTCGTGTTGCAAATAGAAATCTCTCGCTGAAAATGAAAGTTTTGACCTGTCAAAACATCATTGAATGTCCGGTGACCTACTAGCCTTTGCGCTACAACTTTCCATTTGCAAGCTGCCAACATTGCCAACAGCAAGTTGACGTTCCGGCCTTGTGAGTTAGATTAAACTCTGTTTTCGCCATGTAGCCGCTGGGCCAAATATACCTTGTCTGTGTGCAACATTGCTCCGTGTATTTGTGGGAAACCCTGGTTTTTAAGCCTCACGGGTATACGGTATACTTCTCCCTCAAGCAAATTTACCCTCATTGGACTGTCACTCTCTTCATATATAGATTAGATTTGGGGGACTTGGTTTTCCATCTGTGAAGCTTTGAAATTGCAAAGAAAAAACAGGCCGAGAGCCTGAATTAGAGTAAGATCAGGTTAGACTAGATTTGATAGGTAGGTATATGGGTAGATACATGGATAGATACATGGATACTAGATACTGTAAATAGATTTCATGGATGGATAGTGATTTGCCCATTATAGTTACATAATATCATAATCCATCAAAATGCCTTCTCTTGACTGCAAGACTTGGTCGACAGCCTGCGCCCGGGACAAAGAAAGAGAGCAACGAGCAAGACATGGACAGGATTGAAGTTTTGGGTGTAGAGGATTGTGGACAGTTGCACAGTACGGCAATCATAAAGAGATGGCGACTCTGGAACCAGCTATCTGCATTCGCATACGACCACCCGATACAAACATAGCAAACGATTTGTTTCAGTTCTAATGTCTCAACAATTCCCTTAACATCATTTAACATCTATATAATGTTAAAGAATGCAGTCCTCCCAGTAAATTGGTCATGAACTGAGACATGGTAGATATCGAAGATGGATTTGGGTTATCCTTGTCCATCCGATTTGGTCATTTTTGAGGCCAGAGTTCCAGGCTTCCACGGTGCAAAAGGGTGACGGCACAACACTCCCAGACCCACAGACCAAAACCCACTGCTGTTGAGAAGGTACCATTTTTCAGCCCCTTTTGGGATACTGTGAAGAGCAAACAACGCGAACTAGAGGCCTTTTCATCTTAAACATTCCAAAAGTAGCACAGGCCACTTGGCATTCCAGATTCCGGACCAAAGACACGCTATGGCCATGAGAAGACAGCAAAATGCCCCCTGGAAGTTCCGATAAATTTCTCCAAGGTCGAGGCCAAGGCGGCCAAGGGACGCTTCTGATAGGTCAACTTGTGATCGATCCCACACCAATCCAGCACAATTGGTACCTCAGTTCTGCGCAGTCAGCCATGGCATACCATGGCATACCATGGTATGTGGCTATAGACTCTGCAAAGTGATCCTGCAAGTGAAACATATGCATCATGTGCATCTGGAACTATACACCCCGATGGCTCAAGCTTTGACCAAAATCCTTCCATGTTTCAATGCCATTTTCTGGCATGAAATCAGCTGTGTATGTCAACGTATTGAAAAGTACTATATAATTGTTTAAAACATACATTTTGTCATGTAGACTTTGCAATTTTGGAACTGTATACACTGTAGACTTTCCATCCCAGTTGCGCGGCTCGCCAAACAAACGCATTTTCACTGCACCAGGCGGTGGCAGCGATACAGAAGTCCGAAAGACGTTACCGTCGCCGTTGAGTTTTCGGATCAACTCAAGCCTCAGAATCGCACCATTTTCGCCATGTTCAAAGGGAAAAAACACCGAAAATGGAATCCAAATGAATCCAATGCCCTCAATTTGGGTAGCAACACCTCATGAAACGAGTATTTCGCACGCACTAAAGCGAAGCTACCATTGCATCAAACGCCCACAAAATTCTGCGATCAAAATTCAAAATCGAAAATAACCTTCAAATGAGATCCGTTTTGCATTGATCGATTCAATCTGGCCGAATCTGGCCTGGAAATGATGGTGAAATCCCGAAACGAACGTGGACAATTTTTTCCCAAACAGTGCGCAACGCACTGGGCCACTGGGCACTCCCACCAATCCGTGTTGCGGACGCTTTTCACCAAAGCAAGTTGATCATCAAACAGATCCTGAGCATGGGTCTGTTGGAAATGGCATTCAGAAATTATAAATTTACACAATTATACACAATTTTTTCCCAAAAGCATCTTCGATGCTTGGGTTCTCGTTTAGTTGTTTAACCGCGTGGGGGAGCGACCTGGCTCGAACGGTGGTGTGCGGACGGCGTGGGTGCAAGGGAAAGGAAAGGAAAGGAAAGGAAAGGAAAGGAAAGGAAGGGAAAGGAAAGGAAAGGAAAGGAAGGGAAAGGAAGGGAAAGGAAGGGAAAGGAAGGGAAAGGAAGGGAAAGGAAGGGAGAGGAAGGGACAGGAAGGGAAAGGAAGGGACAGGAAGGGAAAGGAAGGGAAAGGAAGGGAAACGAAGGAAAAAGGAAGGGAAAGGAAGGAAAAAGGAAGGAAAAAGGAAAAGAAAAGAAGGGAAAGGAAGGGAAAGGAAGGGAAAGGAAGGGAAAGGAAGGGAAAGGATGGGAAAGGAAGGGAAAGGAAGGGAAAGGATGGGAAAGGAAGGGACAGGAAGGGAAAGGAAGGGACAGGAAGGGAAAGGAAGGGAAAGGATGGGAAAGGAAGGAAAAGGGAGGAAAGGAAGGGAAAGGAAGGGAAAGGAAGGGAAAGGAAGGGAAAGGAAGGGAAAGGATGGGAAAGGAAGGGACAGGAAGGGAAAGGAAGGGACAGGAAGGGAAAGGAAGGGAAAGGATGGGAAAGGAAGGAAAAGGGAAGGGAAAGGAAGGGAAAGGAAGGGAAAGGAAGGGAAAGGAAGGGAAAGGAAGGGAAAGGAAGGGAAAGGAAGGGAAAGGAAGGGAAAGAAAGGAAGGGAAAGGAAGGGAAAGGATGGGAAAGGAACGGAAAAGGATGGGAAAGGAAGGGAAAGGAATGGAGCGGACGGCTGCGGACGGCCTGGGTGCAAGGGAGTGGCTGGAAATGGGTGGGGAGAAGAAGCCGCTGGTGATGAGCGAGTTTGGCTGCGCGGACGGCTGCGGACGGGGAATGGGTGCGGAGAAGTGCGCGGACGGTTGTGGATGGCGCGAGTGCAACGGCGTGGCTGGAAATGGATGGGGAGAAGAAGCCGCTGGTGATGAGCGAGCGTGGCTGCGCGGACGGCTGCGGACGGCAAATGGGTGCGGAGAACTGCGTGGACGGCTGCGGACGGCGTGGGTGCAACGGAATGGCTGGAAATGGGTGGGGAGAAGAAGCCGCTGGTGATGAACGACCTTGGCTGCGCGGACGGCTGCGGACGGCAAATGGGTGCGGAGAACTGCGCGGACGGCTGCGGACGGCGTGGGTGCAAGGGGGTGGCTGGAAATGGGTGTGGGGAGAAGAAGCCGCTGGTGATGAGCGAGCTTGGCTGCGCGGACGGCTGCGGACGGGGAATGGGTGCGGAGAAGTGCGCGGACGGTTGTGGATGGCGCGAGTGCAACGGCGTGGCTGGAAATGGATGGGGAGAAGAAGCCGCTGGTGATGAGCGACCTTGGCTGCGCGGACGGCTGCGGACGGCAAATGGGTGCGGAGAACTGCGCGGACGGCTGCGGACGGCGTTGGTGCAAGGGGGTGGCTGGAAATGGGTGGGGAGAAGAAGCCGCTGGTGATGAGCGAGCTTGGCTGCGCGGACGGCTGCGGACGGGGCAAATGGGTGCGGAGAACTGCGCGGACGGCTGCGGACGGCGTGGGTGCAAGGGGGTGGCTGGAAATGGGTGGGGATAAGAAGCCGCTGGTGATGAGCGACCTTGGCTGCGCGGACGGCTGCGGACGGCAAATGGGTGCGGAGAACTGCGGACGGCGTGGGTGCAAGGGGGCCGGGGTGGCTGGAAATGGGTGGAGAGAAGAAGCCGCTGGTGATGAGCGACCTTGGCTGCGCGGACGGCTGCGGACGGCAAATGGGTGCGGAGAACTGCGCGGATGGCTGCGGAAGGCGTGGGTGCAACGGAGTGGCTGGAAATGGGTGGGGAGAAGAAGCGGCTGGTGATGAGCGAGCTTGGCTGCGCGGACGGCTGCGGACGGCAAATGGGTGCGGAGAACTGCCTGGACGGCTGCGGACGGGGTGGGTGCAACGGAGTGGCTGGAAATGGGTGGGGAGAAGAAGCCGCTGGTGATGAGCGACCTTGGCTGCGCGGACGGCTGCCGACGGGAAATGGTTGCGGAGAATTGCGCGGACGGCTGCGGACGGCCTGGGTCATGGGTGGGGAGTATACAAGCCGCTGGAGATCAGCGAGCTTGGCTGCGCGGACGGCAATGGGTGCGGAGAACTGCGCGGACGGTGGCGGACGGCGTGGGTGCAACGGAGTGGCTGGAAATGGGTTGGGAGAAGAAGCCGCTGGTGATGAGCGAGCTTGGCTGCGCGGACGGCTGCGGACGGCTGCGGACGGCGTGGGTGCAAGGAGTGGCTGGAAATGGGTGGGGATCGCACTGGTGATGAGCGAGGACGGCTGCGGACGGGAAATGGGTGCGGAGAATTGCGCGGACGGCTGGGTGCAACGGATTGGCTGAAAATGGGTCGGGGGAAGAAGCCGCTGGTGATGAGCGAGCTTGGCTGCGCGGACGGCTCCGGACGGCAAATGGGTGGGGAGAATTGCGCGGACGGTTGCGGACGGCGAGGGTGCGAGGGAGTGGCTGGAAATGGGTGGGGGGAGAAGAAGGCGGACGGCAAATGGGTGCGGAGAATTGCGCGGACGGCTAAGATGCAGCCCACGAACCCGAATGCTCACACGTATGTTAATGGATATGCAGTCACTCAGAACAATTTTCTGCAATAATTTATTTGAACACTTGCCCTGTTACCAGTCTGCAGTGTGGAGTGGACAGTGTAGAGTGTGGAGTGTAGAGTGTAAGTGTAGAGTGCGGAGTGTGGAGTGTAAAGTCTGGAGTGTAAAGTGTAGAGTGTGGAGTGTAAAGTGGGAAGTGTGGAGTGTAAAGTGTGGAGTGAGGAGTGTGGAGTGTAGAGTGTGGAGTGTGCAGTGGGTAAGGTGTGGAGTGTGGAGTGTAGAGTGTGGAGTGTACAGTGTAGACTGTGGAGTGTGGAGCGTAAAAGTGTGGAGTGTAAAGTGTGGAGTGTGAAGCGTGGAGAGGAAAGCGTGGAGTGTAAAGTGTGGAGTGTGGAGTGTAGAGTGTAAAGTGTAGAGTGTAAAGTGTAGAGTGTGGAGTGTAAAGTGTGAAGTGAGGAGTGTAAAGTGCAAACTGTAAAGTGTGGAGTGTAAAGTATATAGTGTGGAGTGAGGAGTGAGGAGTGTGGAGTGTAAAGTGTAGAGTGTAGAGTGTGGAGTGGAAACTGTAGAGTGTGGAGTGTGGAGTGTAAAGTGAGGAGTGTGGAGTGTAAAGTGTTGAGTGTAAAGTGTAGAGTGTGGAGTGTAAAGTGGGAAGTGTGGAGTGTGGAGTGTAAAGCGTGGAGTGAGGAGTGTAAAATGTAAAGTGTGGAGTGAAAAATGTAAAGTGTAGAGTATGGAGTGTAAAGTGTGAAGTGTGGAGTGGAAAGTGCAGAGTGTGAAGTGTGGAGTGGAAAGTGTAGAGTGTGGAGTGTGGAGTGTAAGGTGTGGAGTGAGGAGTGTAAAATGTAAAAATGTAAAGTGTGGAGTGAGGAGTCAAAAATGTAAAGTGTGGAGTGTAGAGTGTAAAGTGTACAGCGTAAAGTGTAGAGTGCGGAGTGTGGAGGGTAAAGTGTGGAGTGTAAAGTGTGGAGTGAGGAGTGCAAAGTGCAAAGTGTAGAGTGTGGAGTGAGGAGTGTAAAGTGTAAGGAGTGTTGTGGAGTGAGGAGTGTGGAGTGTAAAGTGTGGAGTGTGGAGTGTGGAGTGGAAAGTGTAGTTTGTGGAGTGTGGAGTGTAAAGTGTGGAGTGTGGTGGAGTGTGGTGGAGTGTGGGGTGTAGAGTGTGGAGTGTGGTGGAGTGTGGGGTGTAGAGTGTGGAGTGTGTAGGAGTGTAAAGTGTGGAGTGCAAAGTTTAAAGTGTGGCGTCCAAAGTGTAAATTGTGGAGTGTAGAATGTAAAGTGTAGAGTGTGAAGGGGGAGTGGAAAGTGCAAAGTGTAAAGTGTAGAGTGTGGAGTGAGGAGTGTAAAGTGTAAATTGTGGAGTGAGGAGTGCGGAGTGTAAAGTGTGGAGTGTAGAGTGTGGAGTGGAAAGTGTCGAGTGTCGAGTGTGGAGTGTGGCGCGTAGAGTGTAAAGTGTGGAGTGAGGAGTGTGCAAAGTGTAGAGTGTGGTGGAGTGTAGAGTGTGCAGTGTGGAGTGTAGAGTGCGGAGTGTAGAGTGTAAAGTGCCACCCCTGCCACGCAAAACGACATGACAACCTGCTTGGAAATCTTCGAAAAGGAGAGATTTTGCAGCTTCCCCCATAGACACGGCGACGCCGCAGGAAAACCAGAGACTTGAGACGAGAGATGTGGGAGCATCAAAACGAGCCTTTCGTGCGAGACTTCCTCCAATTTTCATACTTTGTAGCTTCAAAACCGACGTTTTCCTACGAGTTTTCGTACGAGCCTTTAAATTTGCTACCTCAAAATCGATGTTTCGTGGGAGGCTTCCGTCAATTTTCAGCACATCTCACAAAATGCCACGTCTGCCACGGAATTTGCACCTTGTCTCCACTTGACGCGGCCCTGCCAATGCGATTCGTAAAAAACACGCAACACGACGCGTCTAAAGTGTTGCGCCTGCCACGCAAAATGACGATGGACACGTCCAAAGTGCTGCGCCTGCCACGAAAACTGCAACGCATTTTCTGAAAACGTCGCAAAAGTATTGCGCATGCCACATAAAATGACTTTCGACACGTTACAAAACACGTCTGAATGTCACGAGGTGCCACGCCTGCCACGCGAAACGCACAAATTACCCCTTCTGGAGAACTTACCAGAGGCACGGCCATATAGCAATCGCGCGGACGGTTGCGAGTGGTTGCGGACGGTTGGGCAACGGGAACCCTTGCTACGCATTCGGGAAAGAAAGGGAAAGGAAGGGAACGGAAGGGACAGGAAGGGAAAGGAAGGGAAAGGAATGGAAAGGACGGGAAAGGAACGGAAAGAAAGGGAAAGGAAGGGAAAGAAAGGGAAAGAAAGGCAAAGGAAGGGAAAGGACGGAAAAGGAAGGGAAAGGAAGGGAAAGGACGGGAAAGGAAGGGAAGGAAGGGAAAGGAAAGGAGAGGTTGATTTGGAAATCAGCCGCCGTCGCATGACCGTGCTCAGAACGAAGATTTTGCCCCAGAACGAAGATTCGGCGGGTCCGGCTTCAGAAGAAAAAAGGTGAGGACCAACCAACCTGACCATGGAAAAAAATTATGGAAAAACATTATTTTTAATGGGGCCCTCACTATTTCTATGGCCATGGAAACCATGGCTATGTTAAATAACCAGATGTATAGATGCGGCAGTGGCTTGGCAATTTTGTAGGATACGATACCCGTTTTTTCCCAAAAGTATCTCCGATGCTTGGGTTCTCGTTTAGTTTCTCGTTTGCTGCGGGGGAGCGATACGTAGTGTTGGACGGAGATGGGAAGGAAGGAGAAGGAAGGAAGGAAGGAAGAGAGGAAGGAAGGAAGGGAGGAAGAGGAAGAGAAGGAAGGGAGGAAGGAAGGAAGGGAGGAAGGAAGGAAGGAAGGGAGGAAGGAAGGAAGGGAGGAAGGGGAAGAGAAGGAAGGAAGGGAGGAAGAAAGGGAGGGAGGAAGGAAGGGGAGGTGCAAATAGCTTGCGGACAGCTTCGCCGGGAGGGAGCGAGACAGCATGCTGAACGGAGGGGAAACCGTGGAAATAGCTTGGGGAGAGCTTCGCTGGGAGGGAGCGAGACAGCATGCTGGACTCAGATGCTTTGACACAGAGAAGTCGTTTGCACAAAACAAAACCTTGCTTCTGTGTAAAACGTCCTCTGTGTGTAAAAGTCTCTGTAGAGCTGAAAAAATGAATTTTGCAGTGAATGCGCCCATAATATTCATCTTCCAAAAAGGTGCTGGCAAGAGGCGAAAGGGAAATCCGCCCGCACCGAAGGTGCTGGGGCGTGATCGTCCGGATGGCACTCGTAAAAGGTTACAGGTTTACGGGCATTTTTCGGCCAAAACCTCCTGTTTTTGATAGGTCGTGACGCTCGCCTTCAAAAAACACTATAAAAAACAGTACGGAAGACACCTGTTCGTGAACGCGCCCGTCCAAAATCGGCAAGCGAAAAGTGCAAAAACCCCGTGTTTTTCAACTTTTTGACCTCAATTTTTTGGTTTGCAACATCTTTTTTTGCGGTTCCGCAGGTGGCCGGGCCCGGAGGCGGATTTTTGAGTTTTTGGACCCGTTTTCGGACTGATTTTCGTCGTTTTGTGATAGCAGAAACACTGGTTTTTACAGTGTTTTTCTGTTTTCTGCATGCTTGACGGCTAGCTTCAAAACTTCCAAAAACCTCGTAAATTACGCTGTTTTATGTTACGGTGTGAATGAAAACATCGTAAATACCAGTGTTTTTTGACGTTGGTTAAAAAAACACTGTAAATTACAGTGTTTTTGGCCACCTGACCCTCAAAAACCATGGTATTTGCAATGGTTTCTGCTTCTCACCGCGCAAAAACACTGTAAATAACAGCAATTTCGCCGTTTTTTCATGTTTTTCGTTATTTTTGAACTGCGTTGGTCCGCTATACATGGCTATCAAATTCTTCGCGTTTTTTTTCCGACAATCAATACTTTCGGATGTTTTTGGTCTCAATGGCCGATCCCATTGGCAGGTACGATGCGGTGCGGGCGGTTGCCGTCGCGAAGCGACGTGAATAAACCAATTATTACTGTACTCGAATTTGTTTGCTGTCGTTTTGCTTTTGGGTTCTCAGGCCCCCCCTTGTTTTACATAATATCTTCATCACATGTCATATATATGTCCCTTTCATCCCAAAAATATCTTCCTGTTTTTTTCCTCAACGGTTAGGCCTCCCTGGAGTTTTTGAGTTCGACCAGTTGGCCAGTGCGATTGTTGGATCTGGAGCCACAGAGAGCTGGGTAAACGATGATAAGTCGTATGTCAAGTCGACCCTGTTGATTCTCGCGAGGTGGGGAGTTTGTGGGGGTCCAGAAAAAGGTCTACCGCAAAACAAATTTGTATATTAGCAGAAAACTCTTTGGTGGACAAATGCACAATGTAAAACCCTTCAGATATGTAAATCGATTTCCGATTGAACAAAGTGTATTCCCTGGGATAGATTATCAGATTGTATTTTTTAACCCATGAAGCCCCATTTGTATCCATTTGTATGGTGGGTGGTTTAGCATGTCAAATTCCAACAGGCATAGCATTCTGCATCAGGTCACCCCAAATGATTGCTGACCAAGAGAAGTACCCCAAATGGTCCAACAATTCAACAATTCAGGTCAATGAGTTGCTGGAATTCAGCCATGATAAAAACCATGGCAACGGGTGGGGGAATCGTCGGCTACTCCAGGGCTGGTCACGGTGATTGGTCATGGTCATCACTCATTACCCTTGTGATTTCCTTGCCGAAGCACTGGCCATAGGAAATCGGAAGATCTTCTGACTACCGATGGCCACACTTCAACGTTTACCCAGTGATTAATCATGGGGTGACTTCAACGTGTCATGCTGTCGAATGCATTGAGACTCTCCCAGGTCTTCCTGATCCATCTTTGGGCTCTGATGATTTCACACAAGCCATGAAAATTCCACTGTTAAAATCTCTTTAATAGGTGGGCCATGGCTTCCATGGAAAACTGTTGAAGTACCAGAGGTTCGCCGTGGTTCTCCCATCAATATCCCATGTAATCCCATTTTTCCACATTTAAATCACCATTTTTCATGGGTTACAGAGAGCATGGCCTCATCATCATTGGTCCTCATTGCAATCCCGGGGCCACCCTCAAGTCGGTTCCTTCAGGAGCTCTTCATGCGAGATTGTCAAGATCTTAGCTCGGAGCAGCTGTTGAGATGGCTGGATCTGCTTGAAATTGGCATTAAAATATGGAAAATCATCCATTAGTCTCTAGATATTATATTTTTTTTAGATGGAGAATCTCCATGGTTTTCCAGGATAGTCTGTATTCGTTCCTGCTTGCTTGAACGGGTTGGGTGATATGGATTCGTGGCCGAACACCTTCAATGGCATGATTCGACAGGTGTGTGCTGCCATCGTTTTACTGGCGGCATACCTCTCTTCTTGTTGCTTAACATCCCGTGAGAAAGTCTACCGTTTGCGAATGGAGAGCAATAAACGTTGAGGGCGACCAACGCGAAAAATTGAGAACATGTTCTGCCCATTTGAGGTCCTGATCCTTTCTTTGGCATGCGCCAAGCAATGCTCCTGGGCGCAAGGGCTACAGGTCAACGTGCGGTGCCACTTGAGGAAAATGACAAGGAGCCTCTCTGATGATGGATGCGAGTATATCGAGGACATTTTGATAACCATATCAGGGCTGTTCATCCAACTTATGGGCAACTGATAGCCACAAGCAAAAAAAAATGAATATGTTACCGTTCATTTTGCCAATTTGGCGCCCTTAGTATCTAGGAGGCCACTGTGACAACGAGCAACCCAAATTGTGTCATGAGGTTCCAAGCACGCAATGCTCAGGGTCACTTATATCCCGGCTATGACAACTGTGGTTTTCAAATGAAACATGGTACCCCTATGCGGGTATCTCGAGACAGAGATGTTGGTCGTTTTTGACCAGCAAAATGATTCCATTTTGGGACACAGAAGTCAGGCCTATTTTGCATAAAGATTTACAATGATCCACAGGGGGTTGGTCTAGCGGACCTGATCCTCTAAAGAAAGTCAAAGGAGCAAAGGGTAGAGAAGCCCCAGGCAGGCGTCAAGATACAGGTATTTATATAGATGGTACTGTTTCCAGCAACGGCAATCTCGAATGCGTACCTGATTTCGCGAAGGTTGTAGCGTTGATCAGGCTGAAGACATGTCCTTAGCCAACCTTGCCCTGCAAAAAGAAACCAAAGGCATACCCCTTTCAGAAACAAAATGAAATCATGTTTCCAGTTGGTTTGCTAAACCCCTACAGGGGTTTCTCCATCCTTAATCCAGGTTTTTTCAACACACAAAGCTGCCCCATGTGCTTAGGACTTTGGGCCGCACCGTTGAGTCCTTTCAGCAGTTCCGGCGTGGAGTGGCGGTGCCATGGGTGCCTTCGGGTTCAGTGGATCCACGAGGTGCGAGTCCTGGACGGCTTGGTGGGGTGACTCTCATTTTGACGCCAAAATAGGTATCAATTGGAGATTGCTTGGAACATATGTGTGGTTTATGTTATGGATAAATAAATAAAATAAACAAATAGAAAAAACTAATAAATATGTGAGGGGAAGTTATTAGCGACCTAGCAAAGAGACTTACTTGATAGTTTTGTAAGGTGTGGAGTTGGTTTTCCATTCGGGGCACTGGATGGTGCTGAAACTTAGCGGAACTGCAGCATTCCGTTTTGCAGTCAGCAACAGGAATCCGAGTCAAAGATCAAACGGAGCCAATTTACAATGATGGCAAAAAAAATGCTGAAAGAGAGTTGGAGCAAGCCAACATGTTTTTTTCCACGATAGATAGACAGACAGACAGACAGATAAATAGATAGGCAAACCTCAGATTGCCCAAATGCTGCAAGTATAGAAATTTCTAGTTTTGCATATTTTCTGTTCAGCAACTTTCGAAGTTGGCAATTCCCTCAAAGTTTCGGTGGACGGGGTCCGTTCGGAAGCCCAAACAGATTGGTACTCTGAAATCTGTCTCATGGTTCGCGATTTGATAAGATTATTCTGCACGGCAGGAAGGGTTCAGAAAAACAAGCTTGGAATGTTTGACCACCTACATTCATACATTTGTAGATCTTTCATGATCTTTCAGCAAAAGCTGCAGTGAATGACAGCAGCGATCCTTTCTGATTGCCGCACTGTGAGGCCTCATGGGGAAGCAGCATGCTGTGCCCCATTCCGTCCCCAGCATCAGAGTCACTGGGCTCACTTGAATACACTCTCGTAATCAAACATGGCAATAAAAAATCCTGTATAAATGGAGGATTTAATGGAAAAATCATTCAAAAATTATGGATTTTTAATTGCCACGCTTGATTACCAGAGGGTAACGCTTTTCTCTTGCTTCGCTTCCTTCCATGCTTCATGATAAGTGTCAAGAGTCAGTTCGATGTTTTTGGATATATCTGTATCATATAATTTGAACCTCCACTGTTTCCATGTGGGTCCGAAAAACAGGTACCTCCCAATTTGTTGATGGTCAATCATATTTTGGATGGTTGGATGGTGAATCACTCGTTGAATCCTTAACCACAACAGTATAATAACAGTATAATAACTGTATAAGAACAGTATAATAACCATATAATAACCATATAACAACCATATAATAACCATATAATAACCATATAACCTTCATAGTCCCCATGAAAATAACCAGCTTGAAGGTCACCTCCGTCTTCGGCGGGCATTGCTCCCTTTGGTTGGAGCCCTTGAGCCTTGGTGAAGTCGTGGGTCGAAATCCGGGATCCTCCTAGAAATCGTGGGTGCCAAAAAGAAATAAGCGAAATATGTTGATTTTTCCATGAAGATTAGATTAGGGTTGAATATGACTTCTTGGGATATGAATGGAGATGCAAGTGGATATATATAACTAAAACTAACTATCTCGAACTTGAGTGAGTTTGTCGGAAATTCAAAGGGGAAATATCAGCGGTTAAAACCGATTTTTTCGGAATGACCAAAATTGCCTGGGGTCTAAAAAATATATATACATATACACGTATAATCACTCCACTTTCAGACATGCCCATATACTAGTAGTACCGCACAAGGCGGTGGCGGAAGTTTCAAAAATAGGAATAAGGTTGGTTGTTGGGAATCACGGATGGCAGAGCAGATCCACTGATGGACTGAAAGGTAGTTGGAGTTGTGTTTTTTGGAGTGGTTCAATCATTGCAGTGGTCACGTGGTCAGTCACCTCACCCACAACTGCTGGATGTAGTGTGGTGTATTGTAATTAGTGAGTGTAGTTGCAGTTGCATTTGTGGTGGCGTACTGAGTGTAGTGTAACGTAGTGTAGGGTATAGTGTAATGCCAACATCGGATTAATCAACCCCCCCCACCAGGTAGGTAGGGGGGTACCTTCTGGCTAGTTTCTTGACCACCCCTTAATAATAAGCAACTCTGAACCATAAAAATTTGGATATGGCTTACGTCAATTAGATCTTAATAGAATTCTATTGGTTGATTAATCAGGGGCAAACCCTGGTTATTATTAATGGGCTCATGGGGGGTACCCTTTGGGAGCTATCCAAACTGATGATTTTTATAAAGATTTTTATTAGAAATCGATCATTTGGGGAATAGTCGTTTTTTGAAATTTTCAATGATCAACTTAAACCTTAAGTATAACAATGATGATTAAAAAAAAGGTAAAAACAAATTGGAAATAAATAGAATTGGAAATAAAAATTGTTGGATGAAAAATTGATTTCAGCACTGGTGGTTTTTTAATCGGGGTGGTTTATTAATCCTGGGGGACCACCTTTTTTTAATTACATTTTTTTTTGGCAGAGGGGGTTGATTAATACCGCGGGGATTATAAATCCTAACTTGACATTAGTGTAGTCTAGTGTAGTGTAAAGTAGCGTAGTGGTAGTTGTAGCTGTAGTTGTAATTATATAGTATAGTGAGGTGTGGTGTGGTGTGGTGTAGTCTAGTGTAATGTAGTGTAGTGCAATTGAGTGTAGTGAAGTGGAGTGTAGTGTACTGCAGTGTAGTGTAGTGTAGTGTAATTGCGAAGTGTGTAGTGTAGTGTAGTGTAGTGTAGTTGTAAGGTAGTGTAGTTGTAGCTGTGGTTATTAGTGTAGTGTAGTGTAGTGTAGTTGTAGTTGTAGTTGTAGTTAGTGTAGTGTAGTGCAGTTGAGTGTAGTGTAGTGTAGTGGGGTGGAGTGTAGCGTAGTGGAGTGTGGTGTAATGTAATTAGTGTAGTGTAGTTGTAGTTGTAGTTGTAGTTAGTGTAGTGTAGTGCAGTTGAGTGTAGTGTAGTGTAGTGGGGTGGAGTGTAGCATAGTGGAGTGTGGTGTAGTATAATGTAGTGTAGTGCAGTGTAGTGTAGTATAATGTAGTGTAGTGTAGTGTAGTGTAGTGCAGTGTAATTAGTGTAGTGTAGTGTAATGTAGTGTAGTTGTAAATGTAGTTGTAGGTGTAGTTGTAGTTGGTGTAGTTGTTGTTGTTGTTGTAGTTGTAGGTGTATGTGTAGTGGAGTGTAGCGTAGTGTAATGTCATTAGTGTAGTGTAGTGTGCTGTACTGTAATGTAGTCTAATTTGGGGATGTCGAAGACCAGCCCTAGATCGGTAGGGTTTTTAGCATTCCCCAAAAATCAGAAAGAAAATATTTCCTTAAAAAAAAGAAGTTTTTGGAAACATTTAAGAAAATTTGGGATAGGTAAACTCTCTTGAAGGAACCACTTGCCACTTGCCACAGTTAGTACGTAGTTGTAGTCATAGAGTGTGGAGTGGTGTAGAAAACCTTCACTTTTTTGCTCGTTATTTGACAAGGTGCATACTCCCTTGCGCCTACCATCCAAAACGACATTTACACTTTTGATTTCGAAATCTGCTTCGCACCACAACGGCGTGCGCTTTTTCGACATCTCAACTTCCAAAGGTGGTCCGAGCATGGTGTCTTTTGTGCATGTTGACTTCCAAATGTGCTTCGCACCACAATGGCGTGCACTTTTTGGACATCGTAACTTCCAAAAGCGGTCTGACACTGAGGTGCTTTGCGCATTTTGACTTGGAAACGCTTCGCGCCACAGCAGCTTGCACTTTTTCGGCATGTCAACTCCCAAAAGTGGTCCGAACCTGGTGTGCTTTGTACAATTTGACTTCCATATGTGCTTCGCGCCACAACGGCGTGCACTTTTTCGACATGTCAACTTCCAAAAGTGGTCCGAACCTGGTGTGTTTTGTACAATTTGACTTGGAAATGTGCTTCGCGCAACAACAGCGTGAAAATGTTCATCTCGCATCTGGGCACATGGCTCCGCACCAGCAGCTTTAGCGAGCCTACTTTTTGACCCTCCAGAGCCACAAATCATTGGAAAAACACAGTGAATCGTGACTTTGCTACCTTTTCGCACGGCTGCATCTTCTTTCTTCTGACTCTTTTCTTCTTTGATCTTCTCTTCTCTTTTCTTTCTTCTCTTCTCTTCTCTTCTCTGACTCTTCCACCTCTGCTTTTCCATCCGTCCATATTATCGGAAGTTTGACTTCTCAACTTCCTTTGATCATGTGGTGTATATATATATATATGTTTTTTTCTTTTATTATTGTATTTATGCATTTATTTATTTTCATTTGTTTGTGTGTTTTCTTTATTTTTAATCTATTTTCTATTTATTTTTGATTTATTTATATATTTTTTTGAAATATACATAATTATGTAAATATAGATATTTATAGTTTTTTTTATGTCCCCCATGTAAGCTTGTGAAATCTTGGAGGTACTGCGGTGGATACATAAAATGGACACAATGAGGGACGTACCCCATCAAGGAAGAACTTATTTTTTGCACAGTCTTTTTAGCCAGGTTGGGGGATTGGGCTCAATGTTCTCGTACTGGCTGGAAAGTATCTGTTTCAGACTGATACTCAGATACGCGTACATTTTTTGAGCCCGACAGCGTTTCAAGCATCAGCAAGGTACACCCTCTACAGGATCTTCCCGGAATCGGTTCTTCCCCTCCTTGCCACCTACAACCCAGAGAACAGCTGCTCTTGCAGTGGTTGGGAGGATGGTTTGATTTTTATCCAGAATAGAGGGGAACTTTCGATATTTCAAATGGTCTGAATCTGGATTTGGACAAATTATTGGGAAAATTTTGGTGGGTCCATAGCCCAAAAACTGGCAGCATAGTTCATGGTCCTGAATGACTTTTGAACTCAGGACCTCTGTTTAAAGCGATGTTGTTTGATGTTGTTTTGCCTTGTGTACATTGGTGTTTCTACCAAAAACTTGCCACATCGTTTGACCTGGCCAACTCAGTACAATCTGCACCAAAACAGTTTTACAGTTTTACATGATGTTTCGATTAGACTTGTCTTCAATGGATCATTGAACCGCATTTTCCTAGATATTTTCGATGAAGTGCAACCCCGGCCCCTCAAATCCCACCAGCCATTGGAGTGGAGGTTGCAGTGAGTTCTTTGCCGTGGAGCTGCCAGCGGTTCATTTGGAGAACAACGATGCCTTGCGCCATGCAGATCTTCTGGTGTGCATGTGGGTCTCCGCAACCTGACCTTGATGGGCCCTGCGGTAGTCTAGCAGAATTTGTGATCTTCCCACGCCAAAAAAAAAAACGCAGCAGTATGCTTCAAGACTGCAACTCTGGAAAGACAGAAAAAACATAGGTGCTTAAGCAATGACCATGATATGCCAACATCAGATAGCACCAGCCACGCCATTGGATCGATGCAGATACGTTTTCAGTCGCTCAATGTAAACTGGGGTTGGGCTAGCCATAGCGGTGCGAGCCTTTCAGGAATGTAGCCGCCTTCGAGCACACTATTCAAAACCTGTCATCTTCTACAGTGGTTGCTTGGCAGTTTTGAGGCATGTTGACGGGGTTGATTGCAGGAAATGGATGGAAATGGGATGTTCTGACATCTGATTGGCAGGGCCCCGGTGCCAAAACGGGCCGAATCAAGTTTGATAGTTCAAACACAAGAAAATTAGTATTGAGTATGGAAAGACTCTACGCCGTTTCATCTAACATGGTGACCCAAGCCTGACGCATGGCATCATGGTTTCAAAAACCCTTCTGTTAGATGCTTTTTCAGCCCAGGTTTCTTGCTGCTCAATGACCAATCCTTCCACCCAGGCGTGGCCAGTGACCTAGGAAAAGATGTTTGAGTGTGGTCTTGGTGAAGTTCCTGCACTCCAGACGGTTATTGTTGACTGCCCATGCTTTTCATCAAGCATTTTCTGTTTGGTTGGTGGGCTTACAATGTTTCAGAAATTTGTTTTCCACTTGAGATGGTGATTTTCCATGATTGTCCTGTTTTTGAAGGGGTCAAAACCACCAACCAACCAAGCATCGCTAGTGTTAATGATTCGTTAACCCAACATGTAGCCCATTGATGGCAAATGGCAACTGTTTGATTGCACGTGCCGCCATGCATAGATGTTGTTTGTGGACCGCCCCCATCTCAGTGAACAAAAAATGGTTTCCAATGGTTTGAGTAAATGAGTGTAAATGGTCCATGATGCCCCTTCAATTATCCATTCTACGCCCCTTCGAAAGGCAACAACACCTTTGCAAAAACAGAAACAGACAGGAAAATATCGTTATCAGAAGAGGAAAAAACAAATCCCTCATCATCTCTCCAATTATTTACTAAACTCCCCATGTCTTATGGTTTTTAAATGTCACAAAAAGACCAATCTGTGAAGATATCCCTCGCTTCCCTCCAGGTCACGCCTGGATGGAGCCCTTGCACCACTTCTGGCGTCGAGTGGCCGATCTCTTGGCCTGCGACGGGCCGGGGGAAGGGCACACGGGTCCACCGTGCCTGGTGGTGCCATTGGCTGCAGAAAATGGGGTAAATGGGATATGAATATAACATGAATATAACATGAATATAACATGAATATAACATGAATATAACCGAATAGTTTTAGCAAAGTGAAATTTTGCGACTTTAACCAGGAGAATGGTTGGGTTTTAATCCACTGGAAAGCCTTGGAATTGAACATGACCTCAAATGACTTCATTACCAAGGATGGGAAACCGGGCGGAAACCGTCAGACAAAAGAGTCGGAATTGATGTTCCATTGTCCACAAAAAGTCTGGGAAACTGCCGAATACTTGTTTTACGCCACCATGGAACTGAGGTACCGAGAGGTGTTAAGAATGAAGATATAACAAACAGGACAATGGAGATGTATCTAATACCTTGGATGCGTAAGAGTGCCGGACACCCCTGGAATATGTCTGTGCATACATGTTGTTGCAAATAGTCATGCATGACTAGAAGCAATCGAACGTGTCGGGGGGTAGTTTATTTTCCAATGCCATGGTCAAGATGGGCATATTCCCTGGGGTTGAAAGCTCCTTCATCTCACTTCATCGTCTCGAGGACTGGGAGCTGTTTGGCCGCAAAGGAACTTCTTCTCCTAAATCACAGAAACCAAATGCTGTAAATCGATTTGGCAAGATTGCAGCCGTATGAAATCGTCACCCTCCGACTGAGGTGTTTGAAGAGCGACAATTGGCTGAAGCAGCATATTGGCAGACGGGGCAGCAGAAGCCATATGTCTCTTGGCGACAAGTGACTTCAAGTATTTCCAAATGGGTCGCTTAGATTTGGCCAACATATTTGTTCTAAGCATTTGGATGTGATTAGTTTGATGTATTTCTGCTGTTGCAAGTCTTGTTTCCTGGAAGGTGTGTACTGTGACGCAATTGCAAGACTTCCGATCCGGAGAGCCACCCAAAAGTCGGATTCGAGTCGGTTTCGGGTTTCGGGTTTCGGGTTTCGGGTTTCGTCGATTGAAACCAACTTTCGCTGTCGGTTTCGGGTTTCGGGTTTCGGGTTTCGTCGATTGAAACCAACTTTCGCTGTCGGTTTCGGGTTTCGGGTTTCGTCGATTGAAACCAACTTTCGCTGTCGGTTTCGGGTTTCGGGTTTCGGGTTTCGTCGCTTGAAACCAACTTTCGCTGTCGGTTTCGGGTTTCGGGTTTCGGGTTTCGTCGATTGAAACCACTTTCGCTGTCGGTTTCGGGTTTCGGGTTTCGGGTTTTCGATCGTCCTGGGGAAGTTAAGTCTTCAGAGTCCGGTTTCGGGTTTCGGGTTTCGGGTTTCGATCGGTCCTGGGGAAGGTAAGTCTTCAGAGTCGGTTTCGGGTTTCGGGTTTCGGGTTTCGATCGGTCCTGGGGAGTTAAGTCTTCAGAGTCGGTTTCGGTTTCGGGTTTCGATCGGTCCTGGGGAAGGTAAGTCTTCAGGTCCGGTTTCGGTTTCGGGTTTCGATCGGTGGAAAGGGTTTCGGGGGTTTCGGGGTTTCGATCGGTCCCTTGGGAAGTTAAGTCTTCAGAGTCGGTTTCGGGGGTTTCGGGTTTCCCAGATCGAAACCAACTTTAACAGTCGGTTTCGGGTTTCGGGTTTTGGGTTTCGCTGGTCGAAACCAACTCTGCAGACCTCTCTCCGGATCACGTCTCAATTGCAATTGCTAGAGGTCCTGTTGCACAGGGGAGTAGTGATGTTTTGAGTCTTGCTTCGGTCTTGTTGTTGAAGCTTTTGATATTTTTGATGTTGTTGCCTTTATCGTTGTGGTGTTGCTGCTGATGATGCTGGTGATGATTGGCAGCTTGTGGCCTTGGAGCCAACACTCAGGTTCGTCCGTTGTCCCTCTACGCGCCTGGTTTCCAACTTCAGCTGTTTGATTTTGAAGGGCGTATTGAAATTGCATGAAGTTGCTCTGTTTGAATAGTTGTCTTACATGATATTCAAGGTCGGCTGCACCCACGATCCAGAGAAAGCCCGCAGTGATGTGTTGGTCATCAACCGCGGCCGGTTGGTCTTGGATGGCTTGGTGACACAGGCACTGAATGCCATGAAGCATGCCGCTTATCCTCACAGTCTCTCGGACTATCGGCTGAGGGAACCTGAGGTCGAAGGATAGCAACTCAGGATGGCCGGAAGTCAGAAATCAAGGGGCAAAATACACACGTCGCATTCTCGCATTCTTTCATCCGTTTGGAAGGTGAAGGCCACAAAAAATGTAACACATTGCCATCAGATCTTGTGGATGTGCTTCTTCGAACGCTACTCGGGATCATGATCATAAGATGTTGATCATTGGGGAGCTCCATTGTCCTTGTGACTGTGTCTTGGGAGGCCCTAACTTGGGCCTTAATTTTGGGGGATGAAGACTTAGTTTGTTTCGTCTTATTTTTAGATTTTTGATATTTTATAATGATATGTTTGTGGTGCACCATGCCCTTAGAAATCCCATGGCCCATGTCCATTGAGGTTTCGTGGACCAGGTCCGGGGCATGCCCTTTGCATCCATGGCTGTGCCTTGGAGACAAGATTAGGTGCCCTAAAGATCTTAAAGATTGAAAAGACTGGATGACAAACATTAAATATCATGGAACATTCGGCCAACATCGAGGGTCCCAAATTTCTGAGATGTTGATACGCGCCTCCTGAAGGCCTTTGTTGTGCAAGGGTGTTCAAGCCTCCTCCTGTTGCCCTGCCCTTGCACACTGATTCTTCTCTGAAACTGTTTTTTTTAGCATCCCAAAAAAACCTGTCGGAAGGTCAAAGGTGAGAAAAAGCTCTGGGTTCTTTCCATGCTCTGCATTTTTTGGGTCGTGCCTGAATTTCCGGCTGAATTGGCCTGCACTGCCTACATACTGTAGTCAAGATGTGAATTTCTATCCAACACCACCAAGTCGACCCAATGCACTTTCGTCAGGCCTTTCGGGCAGCGATTTTGCTGCCATGGGATTTGAATTTGGTGATGTTCCACGACCTCTACGCCATGGCCATTCCCATGTTTTTGCCCAACAAGGATGGACTACATCACACAGCTTTTGCGTCACTTGAAGCAGTTTTGCCATGATCTGCTTGTGACTGGGACCATCTTGGACCTCTTTGCAGCCGGGTCATGCCCAAGGTATCTCTCGAGATTTCGGAAGTCTTTGCAGCCAGGCATGCCCTTCAATGAAAGGCAGGGACATTGGATGACATTGGGAAATTTGAGGGAAAATGCAACATAAACATATCGTCTTAGATGCTATTGAGAATGACTAGTGACTAGTGGTGGACAGGGAGATAGCCAAACTGATGTTGTAATATGTAGTATCAAAAAATGTAGTTGTTTGGTCTGCTGAGGTTGATGCATTGGGATTCGTATTGGGATGTTTCCGAAGATTGGGGAGCCTGCAAAAATGATCTGCATTCAGTCAAGCGGTGGCCCATAAGGCACGAAGTGGAATGCCAATTCATAGTTGTTCAAGATCCATAAGGTACGCGTTGGGAATTCAACATAACCATGGAAAATCATCATTCTTAATTGTTAATAGGTAAATAATTGATAATAAATGTAAAGAACCTATAGATGGAAGACGTCAGGAACATGCAGGAACTGGAAGCGATCATCCTTTAAAGGTAAGATCCTGGGAAGGTAGTAGTCAATGGCAAAACCAAGTTGGTTTATGCTATTCTACAATTTACTATGCAGAATTGGTCATATTATGTCATATTATGTAATATTTATGAACATGTGTTAAATCATGTAAAAATTCTGATATATGAATGTCTTTTTTCATTTTTCCATGTATGTGCATTTATGCAATCTCAATATCGGATACTGAAATGCTGAGATGATCATTCCAGCAGGAAACTGTCCATGTCCCACATTTTCTCGGAATTTGGAAAAGGGAAATTCTACAGGAAAGGCCTGAAGCATTGATGGTAAAAAGGATTCCGGGATCCGTCAATGTGCGCAATCCAATGAAATATCTGCTTCCAGTTGTCACTGTCATCCGTCTTTTCCGCAAGGCTCCCAGGTGCGCCCGCAACTCCACACCACTTCTCTCCCTTCGATGTGCAGTACCTGGAAGTTCGCCGGAAATCCCAGAGATCCCCGGTGCTCAGGGTGGGGCAGTTGGCTCAAGAATGGAATGCATATCATTTTCATATAATATCTACTGGTTGGTGGTTTGGAACATGGCTTTTATGACTTTCCATATATTGGGAATGTCATCATCCCAACTGACGAACTCATATTTTCAGAGGGGTGGGTCAACCACCAACCAGATACCAATTAACCCACAAGAGGCTGGTCCCTTTCAGTTTACGACCTGTCTGTACCCATTCGGAGGATGCCCACAATGCTGGGCCATGCAGCCAAATATATCAGGAAAACTGGCGAGAAAATAACTTAACAACCCCCTGACTAGGAGATTGTTGAGATCACAAATTAACTATGTATGCAGTAGATATAGATATTTATAGATATATTCAACCGCCTTCGGCGTGCTCCGCCGGCCACCATGGAAAGAGCTACCCTGCAAGCCGCAAACAGCCCTTGCACAGGCCCAGCAAGAACATTGTTTTTGTGTAAAACATTGTGTTTGTGTATGCCACGGTTTTTGTGTAAAACAGCTCTTTGTGGAAAAGACGGTTTGACGCAAAACCATCAGTATTGTTCAAACCACGGTTGAAATTGAAACCAAAGCATGTGTGTAAACCAGGGTTTTCGCAAAAGGCCATATTTAGAAAGGTTATGAGTATAAAAAGTGTTCGGCACAAAAGCCAGTGGGTCAAGTATCGGATATAAGAAGCGACTGAGCAAACCGATGGCAAACACAACAAAAAAACGGAAACAACCATTGAAATGACAGCAAGATGTGCAAAGCCAAGCCGGTGTTGAGCGAGGTATATATGGTACTTTGATACTCTCATGGCCTTCTTTTTTTCATGCCATAGCGTAAGGTTACTATATATCCTCGCAAATCCCCAGCAGTATATATATATGTACTTGTACAGAGCCAATGAATTATGTTTAAAACATGTTATGCGGGTTAGGAGTCATCCCACCATTTTTGAGAACCCTTTTTCTGGCATGTAAAAAAGAAGGCACGCACACACACATGAGAGTATCAGAGTATCAGGGTATCATGTATACCCTGACATGTATATCTTAACACCGCCCTTAAAAATGGAGAAAATGATAAACACATCAAAAACACATCCAACAATATTTGCCATCAAGAGCCGAAAACATCAAGGGAGCGTGGTGCACAAAAAACAGCATGTCAAATATGACCTCCACCACCCTGTCCTTCCACATCCATATTGGGATATTGAAGAGCTCAAGGCATGCCTGTCTTGCTTTGAAACACAATGAAGCCAAGGGGGCCCCCAAACCAAACAAATCTTGACAACGAATACAAGCCAGATTTTTTCTGCTGAAATCAACAGGTTGTTGAATAACCAGGTAGCAATACTGGTGTACTGAATCTAATTACAACAGAATATATTATGAAGGAGTGCACTAAACGTAAGAAGTAAGCAAGTTATATTTTTGTACTGCCAGTTTGCTTCAGTTTTGGATCGAGGCGCGAGAACTATGGAATCGCTGCACCTGTGCGCGTGAGGAATTTCATTTCTTGCTCCTATAAGGACCTCGTGTTTTTGCAGCAGAATTTGCGCAATGTTACAACCGGGACTTATACAGAGGAGTTAGCCAAGAAGACAAATGGCGTCTTCGAGCTGGGACTGCGTACTAGCCGAAGTCAAGGCGGCGCGAGTTTTGATGGATATAGCTTTTGTGTCTGTATGTTACCAATGCAACCTGCTCCCAGGTTCCGGTTTTGACTCCTTGCACACCTTTATCATTTTGTGATTTCACGTAGAGATGGCAGGTTAAGGCAGCGGTCGCTGCAGCCAGTGCATCAAAGGACTTCGGTTTGATTCAAAAAACAGATGTACACAGTACACACCAGAATTTGGATGCAATCTGGCAATCTAGTTTGAGTCATTGGTAGGCGCAAGAAATCGCTACATCACTTGGTACCCACCACGTTTCAGGTCTACCAAATCAAAGGACTTCTGACATTTCCGTCAAAACATTTGATACAAAAATGATTTCTCCAAGCTCAGCCCACTTCTCACGTCGGACTTGTTACGCGCAAACGCCCCGTGTCGACCAACATCACTTTAGGTTTAAGGTTTTAGGATTTTAGGCTTTAAGAGTATGGTTTTTAATGTTTAGGTGTTCAGGGTTCTTCCGTGTTTTTCCCGAGACCGTCTGAGCACAGGGTTCTTCCAATAGTGGGGGTCTGTCTCTCATCTTCTCATCTTCACATCTTCACATCTGCTCATCTTCACATCTTCACATCTGCGTATCTTTACATCTTCACATCTTCACATCTTCACATCTGCTCATCTTCACATCCTCACATCTTCACATCTTCTCATCTTCGCATCTTCTCATCTTCACATCTTCTCATCTTCACAATTTCTCATCATCTTCACACATTCACATCCTCACATCTTCACATCTTCTCATCTTCACATCTTCTCATCAACTTCACACATTCACATCTTCACATCTGCTCATCTTCACATCTTCTCATCCTCACATCTTCACATCATCTTATCTCCACATCTTCACATCTGCTCATCTTCACATCTTCTCATCCTCACATCTTCACATCTTCTCATCTTCACATCTTCTCATCTTCACATCTGCGCATATTCACATCTTCACATCTTCACATCTTCACATCTTCACATCTGCTCATCTTCACATCTTCACATCTTCACATCTGCTCATCTTCACATCTTCACATCTGCTCATCTTCACATCTTCACATCTGCTCATCTTCACATCTTCTCATCCTCACACATCTTCCACATCTTCTCAATCTTCCCAATCTTCACATCTTCACATCTGCTTCACATCTTCATCTCATCTTCACATCTGCGTATCTTTACATCTTCACATCTGCTCATCTTCACATCTTCACATCTTCACATCTGCTCATCTTCACATCTTCACATCTTCACATCTGCTCATCTTCACATCTTCACATCTTCACATCTGCTCATCTTCACATCTTCACATCTGCTCAGCTTCACTCTTCTCTCCTCACATCTTCACAAAATCTTCTCATCTTCTTCACATCTTCACATCTGCTCCCATCTTCAACATCTCAACATCTTCGCATCTTCACCTCTTCCCATCTTCACATCTTCTCATCTTCACATCTTCTCATCTTCGCATCTTCTCATCTTGCCATATCTTCCCATCTTCTCATCTTCACATCCTCACATCTTCACATCTTCACATCTGTTCATCTTCACATCTTCTTGTCCTCACATCCACACATCTTCAAATCTTCTCATCTTCACATCCTCACATCTTCACATCTTCTCATCATCACATCCTCACATCTTGGCATCTTCTCATCTTCACATCTTCTCATCTTCACATCTCTCATCTTCACAATCTCCCATCTTCATCTTTTTTAATTGAATCTTCACATTCATCACATCTCACATCTGCCTCATCTTCACATTCACATCTTCTCATCTTCACATCTTCACATCTTCACATCTGCTCATCTTCACATCTTCACTCTGCTCATCTTCACATCTTCTCATCCTCACATCTTCACATCTTCTCATCTTCACATCTTCACATCTTCACATCTGCTCATCTTCACATCTTCACATCTTCACATCTGCTCATCTTCACATCCTCACATCTTCACATCTTCTCCTCTTGCCCTCTTGCCCTCTCCTTCTTTTCTATTTCTCTTCTGAAGGCAGGGGCAGGGGCAGCGCCAACGAGACGGCACCAAACGCTCTCCTTTCGCACTAAACGTTCGAGCGTCAAAAACTGAGGTGAAATTGTAATTTCTCTTGTCTAATCGCGACCCTTTCGCATGAGATGAGGCTCAATCGCCCAAAACTATAGCAAATTGCGATTTCCTGTGTGTAAAAGCGTCTCTGTGTAAACACGTCTTGTGGCGCGAAGCACATTTCCAAGTCAGAATGTACAAAACACCTGCGTTTTTTATGCTGTCAACTTTGAAAAATGAAGAGGTCTCGCAGAATTGCTTCGTTTTTGACGTTGTGAAGTTCAAACATTGAGGAAGTCTCGCAGAATTGCTTCGTTTTTGATGGACAGATAGATAGACAGATAGATAGAGA